TTATATTGAGCCCGAAGAGTAGAAAATTCAGAGTAGTCACGAGGACACTGAGTTAATTTATACTTCGCATGCTTCTATCTTTTTTCCCAAACAATAGACTTTAGATCTCTAGAAAACCAACTCGGAAATCTTGAAGGTTTGTACTTGACTTCAGGAACGAAATTAAGACACAATAGTGTAAGGCGTCATAAAGTGTGTGCGTTGCTGAGTCAATATCAAGTGAAGTAATGGTTAGAAGCCAATTAAACGAATTAAAAAATGAGAAAATCTGCCCAAAAAATTAAGGCAAAAAATTAAGCCCAAAGCTTGATGGCAAGGATCACTTGGTACAACCGTAAGTATCAGTAAGTATCAGATTTTGAAATACACATGTTAGGGTTATTAGAGAATACTAGGTCAAGGATATTACCTGAAGAGTTAGGTACACTATTTAATTGAAAAAAAGTTGTGAAATGCAAATATTTCAGCCACGCAATGTATTCTTGTACCTGAGACAGAAGAGTAAGAGAGCTAAGTAAAGTAATTTATTTACCTATTTACATGGTACCTTGTTTTAAATGATCAATTCTTAATTTTAAAAATTTAACATTTTATAAATTTTCAACAACAAAATAATTTTTAAATTGTGTCAAAATTCGAACTTAATTGTTTAAATGCTTATAAAAAACTTCTCTACAAGAACTCTTGGATCCAGCCCAAAAACATATGTATGTTAAATACAAATCTACAATAATGATAAGACATTAGTTGGACAGTATCAATTATTAATAATTGATGGGAAAACCAAGTTAAACAAAAAAATAATAATATAATTATAAATAATTACGTTTGGTTTTCGTCTTCTACACTTCGATGTAGTAATATGGCATACACAGAACGCCGTCTTATACAATTATAATTTACTAATCTTATTTAGTAATCTTTATGAACTTATATTGTAATATCACTTTTAAGCTGCATAAATTATTAATTATGATGTGAAACATATTGTTAACTACTATTAGTTATAAGTTATAACTTTGATCAGGGTCAAGAGTTAACATTATAACTCATCATTAAATATCAGCAAAACATAGTTCAATCATTGAAAAATAATGTATTCATCAAAAGAAATAAAGCCAGGCATACACTAGGATTTAAAGAATGACAATCAGCAATGTATTTATATGAACCGATAAAGATTTCCAATTTGATTGGTGAATTTCAAACATGTATGGTTTAATTTTATATAAAGATTGCCAATTTGATTGGTGAATTTCAAACAAGTATGGTTTAATTTTATAGAAAGATTGACAATCACGGTTGTCAGTGTATGCCTGGCTTAAAAGAAATTGTCAATACAAATAACTAAATACATAATATGGTAGAATGATATGAAAAATATTTCTTGAGATTTTAGACAAAAAATTTCTAAAACAATAAATTGCGTTATTTGAGCCATTCATATGGATCTTAATTTATAATTCAATGATAATAATAATTACTGTAAACTTAATATATTATACAGTAATTTTCTTAATAATATTCCTTGTTCAATGTCACTCATAATTAGTGGTAAATTTGATAAATGATAATTTTTTAATTTCTTACGATATCATAGTTGTCGTTAGACCAGCTTACGTTTGGAAGATTAAAATCGCCACAAAATAAGAATACACAATCGGAATGGGTAGAGATTATAATTTGGACAGCTGACATAAAGGACTCATACATATGGATAGGACTGTTTGGAGGGATGTTAACGGAGCAAACAATAAATGCAACGTTACTGGTTGTAAATTTCACAAATATATGTTCAACACTGAAAATTGATGTGGGCAATAACTAACATAAGATGTCATTACGAATGGCAATGAGCACACCACCACCTCGACGACAATTACTAGTTAAATTATTTCTATCACATCGAAAAATAAAATAGTTTGACAAACCTAATTCATTATCATAAAAACTATCGGTGAGCCATGTCTCGGTTAAACAAACAAAAATATAATTAAAAACGGAAACATTACATTTAAATAAATCGAGTTTAGATTTAAGACCTCTACAATTTTGGTAAAAGCCAAGGAGTACATTAGAGCTTAAATTTTCTATAAGTTTTTTGGAGCTGAGTTCAGCGACATACCTGGTTGCAAACGTCCCCTTGAAGCGTTTCACAATGACACCTTCAGGCCAAAATGAAGGTTCCAGTACTTCATTTAGGTTTTGAAGTGGCAATTGGATATGGAAGGAGGCGTATGTAGGGTGTTTGGTCGTAAGTTGAGTGATAGTGATGTCATCCAATGTAGGGTACAGTTCAGTTTTAAGCATCTCAGTGGTAACATGCGGATCTAGTCTTGAGACGAATATATCCGAGTGTTTACGGATAGGTGCGGAAGAAATCTTCGTGGGTTTTTGACTACCAGATCTGACAATAAACTTAGAAGATTCCGTTGGTGATGGTCGTTTTGCAGCTGAGATCTTACTACCAGATGTTGGTTGGGTCGCTTGCATAGTAACTGTTGGAGGTTTGTGCTTAACGACATTATCAGTGGATCCAGTCATACCAAGACGGTTGAGCTTATCATGCATTTTCAGATTACTCTCGGAAAGGGTTTTGAGTTCAGAAACAATCGATTGAAGTATGTTTGCAACATCAAATGAGTTAGATGGGGGCATAACGGGATCGGTTGGGCTAAAAAGTTTTTGTGACAATTCATCACTTAGCTTGATACCAGATGGGAGTGATTTGGATAAGATAAAATCCACCAACATTGACTTGGTCCATTTCCCCAGCTCAGATGATAGTATTTCCATGTTTGGGAATAGAGTAATAAATTACTTTAATTACACCTTGAAATTGTACAGATGAGACAGCCTTATAATAAACAGTTAGGCAACCGCAGTAGCAAACTGCAGTATGACGAGGGCTCTTCAGCTTTAATACCGAGCGTTTAAGTTCCCAGGTGCAAGCGGTAAGCCGATCAGCTGTTCAGATATTGCATTGATAAGGAGATATAAACAATGATAAAAAAAATAAGTTGGCAAAAATAATAGTTGGTAAGTTACCTCAAATAAAGCAGGAAAATCAGCGATTGTGCACTCGGAAACACGCACAGTAAATCAACGATAGTATATGAATATAAGTTAACGAAATTAATGAGCGTAAGAGAGCAATATGTGTCAAAAAAAAATTAGTACAAATGAGCTGCAACTTGAACTTGTTATCACTTGTTGATGTAATAAATAGAATGAGGTCGTATGAATTTCGAAAAGGCTCATACAAATTCGTACCTCTCGCATACTAAATGATGGGACCGAAAAAAACCCCGTGATACCACTGGTTCTTGTGGGGGGTGCTGGGGAAACGTTTCTCCAGTTTTTTGTTTGTGGGGCGAAAACTAAACACGTACAAATTTGAAAAATGGTCATACTAATTCATACTAATTGCATACTAAATATTAGGACAAAAAAAATATGAAAATTGTATGGGGGGGGGGTGCTGGGGTAACGTACGTCATATGCTTAAACTTGCTAGATCTTCTTTGGCTGATAAACGAACTATTCAATCTAATATTGGCGATATTAAATGGCAGTACATAAGCTCACTAAATGCATTTCAAAATGAACTTGGCTTAAAATTTGCTAATAAATTAAGTTCACAACATATTAATTACGAAAATTCTATTATGAAAGTGAAGTTAGCTGCCCAGACACTCAGCAATGGAGTAGCAGATGCAATTGAATACTTACAGCAAAAAGGTGAACCATCATTCCAGAACAGTGATGCTACAATATAGGTATACGTTCGTAATATTTTATTGAGTTCAACATTTTATTGAGTGCTACATTACAATATTGTTGGTAAAATTTACAAGTGCATGAGGTATTAGGTGAGTACAAAAACTATCTACAATTATTTATTTATTTTGTCAATACTATAAGACATAGGTAGATACTGTTTTGTTACAAATAATCAATAATTTTAGTATTTATCCTATTCTTACAACCTTATAATGATATTATAATATAATTTATTGTTAGTATCAGTCAGTTGTCATCCCTATATTTTCCAACTAAGTACAGACTTTAGCTAACACTAAATCTCTTAGGTTGTGGTTCGGTAGGTAATGCGGCTAAACTTTTAGCGCACAGTCCCGGGTTCAATGTTGACGTAATATTTTCATTATAATTTCTTTTAGATTTTGAGCGGAGCAAGGAAGCTAGTGGTTTTACAATGGTGTTTATTTTTTTATTTTTATATTTTTTTTATCCTGTATACAAAATATCTACCAGAAGGAATGCTTTGATTTCAACATATAGTACCTTATCTTTTAGCAAATTGGACCAAGATGGTACTTTAGACAGGTCATTTTTCGATTTTCTCAATAGTTATTTAATGCCACGGGAAAAAGTACTGAAAAATTACGAAAAACCGCTTAAAATGGGATTTTAATTTCTAACAATTTGTATATCACCTTAGCAACGAATAAAAAAAAAAATAGGTAGGTATTATCTATATAAATATCATAAATTATTAACATGTATCATTAACTTATGAGTCAGTACCGACTTATCATAGAACCGCGAGTGATAAGGTTCATGGTAGGAAATAGTATAAAATTAATCTCAGGAATAACGATTTTAATATTTTGTTGTAGTTTATAGTATTAAAACAACTTACATGTTATAATAATTAATGACAATATAAAATATACAGACTGACAAACCGTCTCCGTTCAGAATCGTTTTTCTTATACAATGATCTTATATCATTGAATTCAAGTTTAATACAATCCATTAAACAATGACCAACTTGTAACCTACTGTACAGCTGAGCGACATCCACTTACCTGCCTTTTTTTATATATTTTCTTTATTATTTTTTCATAAATTCTCGTATATTATTTTCATTATTTTTTTTTTTATATATTTTCTTTATTATTTTAGTTATTTTATTTTGTAGTCAAGATGAGTCGAGAACCAAACCAAAACGACCAAACGTCACTGAAGAAGACATCATGGAAATGCTTGGATCAGATGATTCTTCTGGTTCTGATTTTGAAGATTCTGATGATTTCGAACCATCTGATAAAAGTTCATCGGATGATGACTACGAATCTCATGCTGAAGGTAATAATATTCTTATTCCTAATACCGATCCCGATGATGAATCAGAAGACGAGAGTAATAATATTGTTATTCCTAATATTGATCCTCATCATGTTATTTGGTCTAAACCACCACGTTCATTTACTCCACATTTTACTATACCTGATGACCGTAAACCTGAAGTGTTGGTTGATTTGGAATCTGGTTGTTTAGAATTGACATGTTTTCAAAAAATTTTTCCACGCAGTTTGTACATATTTATAAGTCAATGCACGAATGAACGTTTACAGATACTAAGGGACAAAAAGAAGAAAACTAAAGATGAAATTCGAGATTCAGACTCTAGTGAAATAATGCTAACACTTGGTTGCCTACTTGTTATGAGTTATAATAAATTACTTAATGTGTACGATTGTTGGTCCAAAAATCCATCGATGGGGAACCAAGAAATAAAAATGGCAATGGTGCGTAATAGGTTTCAGTTATTGATGTCTAAACTATATTTCAATCACCCAAAGCCACCAACAAATGCTTCTAAAACGTACTACATTGACGAAATGGTAAATTGTTTGAAGCATACATTTTTGAATGCTCGAGGAGAGAGCCCGTTTCAAAGTTAGGACGAATCTATGACGAAATTCAAAGGTAGATCCAGTTTGAAACAGTATATGCAGCTCAAACCTATAAAACGAAGAATAAAGATTTGGGAGCGCTGTGACTCTATCACAATCACTGGATATGCCTACGATTTCAACATCTATAGTGGAAAAAACGAGTCAAATGATACTGACAATAGAACACTGGGGGAACGAGTAGTTATGAAATTAGCCGATACGATTCGTGAACCTAATGTGGTACTTGCTTTTGACAGATTTTTTACAAGTGTGCGGCTTCTCACAATTATAGATTATCCAGCTCTTAGTACATGTATTATGAATCGGAAAAACGTACCTAAGTTTGAAGGAAAATTAAAAAGAGGTGAACATCAATTTCGCAGTTGTTTAGATGGATTGACAGCAGCAAGATGGCAAGATAGTAAAGATTTTGTAGTTATTAGCAACTGTCATACAACGATTGTTGGAGAAATTACTCGTAAGCAAAAGGATGGGACAAAATTGAAAGTGTCTTGCCCAAATTCTATTATTTTTTATAACCAAATCATGGGTGGAGTAGACCTATCAGACCAGAAAGTGAGTGTGTACGATTGTAGTCGTAAGTCAACGAAGTGGTGGAAAAAGGTGTTCTTCAAATTATTGATGTCAGCGGTCGTAAATGCATGGATCCCCTACAATGAAGTAAATGAAAATAAAACCTGACTACTACAATTCTTAGTGCCATTAACTGAACAGATGATGGCAACAGGACAGAAAAATTGTGCATTAAAACAACAATTGGTTTTGGGTTAATAAGAGTCTCCTTATATCATTTTTAAAAAAATTAAAAATTAACTCGAAGAATTTAAAATTGGTATTCAAAGGGTAGCATCGAGAAAAATAAAAAACTAATTAAGGAAAAGCGTGAATTTAAACGAAAAATCGGTTATCGACCAAATCGATTTTAATTTTTGGTGTAACTCTAAAACAAATTACCGTATATTCATGAAATTTTCAGCGGTTGTTTAGATTAGCGTTTTCTAAACAAGATAAAATTATCAAAATATTTTGATTTGTTTTGAATTATTTAGGTACTAGTATAAATATTACAAATATAACATTAAATTAAAAAAAATTAAAAAAATCAGATCTTTTTAAGTACTTACCTAATATTATTTTAATTTAGTAAGATTGTTCAAGGACTGAAACACCAGTACCACTAAAAAACATTGCAATAACGATAACTATTGTGATAGTATATTATTTAATATTGAAAATAAATGTATACAAAATTAAATTATCATTAATAGACATAGCAGAAATCACAAGAAATTTTGCCAAAAACACTTTTATAATAAAAACGGAGATGTCTGGTTTATTTTTTGATGTAACTACTATATATTTCCAGACACCTTTTTAGTGTGTTCTAAAAATATGTTTAATTGGAAATGTCTCGTTATTGCTGCCACATCTTCATGTTATAATATAATAATGGAAAAAAATAACTTAATTATAAATAAAAATTAGAATAGAAACATAACTTAAGTTTTACAATAAGATAGTAAAGTTAATTCATTATAAGTAGACTTATATAATTTTTAAATGGAGAGATTAAAAGATAATGGAAATGAAAAAGTAACTTTACCACTAAAAAACATTACAATACCAATAAATGTTGTGACAGTTTATTATTTTATATTGAAAATAAATATATACAAAATTAAATAATCGTTAACAGACATGGCAGAAATCACAAGAAATGTTGCCAAAATCACTTTTATAATAAAAATTGAGATGCCTGGTTCATTTTTTGATGTAACTACTATATATTTCCAGACAGCTTTTTAGTGTGTCCTAAAAATATGTTTAATTGGAAATGTCTCGTTATTGCTGCCACATCTTCATGTTATAATATAATAATGGAAAAAATAACTTAATTATAAATAAAAATTAGAATAGAAACATAACTTAAGTTTTACAATAATTTAGTAAAGTTAATTCATTATAAGTAGACTTATATCATTTTTAAATGGAGAGATTAAAAAATAATGCCAAGGAAAAAGTACAGGTATATATACAAATATTCTGAAAAATTAGAAGAATTTTGAATGAATATTTATAATATGTCGTGATAAACTTCTTTTTTGAATTACCAAACTACAAAAAGTGCACTTAGCAGTTTCTGGTTTTTGATTCTCAAATAAGAGTTTAGCAAGGGGATGATGCCGCCTATTGTGTTGGCCCAGAGAAGGTTTTGATTTGAAACTTCTATTGCAATAGGAACAATGAACCAAATTGTCATGTGAATTACTTTCATTAATTGAAGTGTCATTAGAAATACCATTTTTGTGTGTTAGTAAATGTTTATCAAAGCTTTTTTTAAAAATAAATTTTTTATCACACATATTGCATATCATTTGTTGTTTTTCGATCTTCTCTAATGCCAGTTGTTTTTTTGAAATCATTTTATTTCTAAAAGTATGATATTTCAAATGACCATTTAATCCACGATGAGTTGTGAATGTTTGATCACACAAGTTACATTGAAAGATCTTGGAGCTACCCTTTGAAGTGTTATTACAAATATCACGATGATTAAGAAATGTTGTTTCAGAATCTGTTGCAAACACGCAATTTACACACTTAAATGCCTTGCATTTGTTTTTTTGTAAAATTGTGTTGGGATCAGTTACACTTAAGTTGCGGGTAAAATTGTTTGATTCATCTATTGAAATACTAGTATTGAGGCATTTTTTTGCCAATTTTGAGGTTAATTCAGAGTTCTGATTATTTCTATTTGGATTTATTGTCAAATTACTTTTAGATGAAGACTGGATTTCTGAATGACTTACTGATGAATTTGACATGCTTACTTTATCATTATGTTCAGTCATATGTCCACTCAAATGAATATTAAGAACAAATTTTGTATTGCAAAATTTACATACGAAAGGTTTACATCTATGTATTATTTTTTTATGGACTAAGTATTCTTCATAACTATCAAAATTATCATGGCATATTTGGCAAATAAATTCATTTCGGTTAACATTTTCCGTGTTGTTTGAAAATGCAGTACTACCCTCAGTTATAGTTATAATTCTGTTCTCTTGCATAGTTTTTTCTTCAACTCCATCAGTAGATCCAATTTTAACATCAACCCCAATTGCCTGCACCGTAGATTGCCATGAAGTATGTTCTATTGCGGTTCTAATAAGTATAAAAAAAACAAAACAAAAATAATATCAGGTAATATGATTAATATATAAACAATCAGATATTCATAAGGTCAAGTTGTTGTGTTTTTTTTATAAAATTTTAATTTTGAAAAGTTAAAGGTATTTTCATTTTTTCTATTTCTAAACTATATAATGAACGTTATTATATTAGGTATAATGGAAAAATCACAACGACTTGTCTTCAGAAATCTTGTCACAATTCAATTTTATAATATTTATTTTTACACTAAAACCAAAATTGAGCAAGTTCTACGCAGACTGCGTAAACACGTTTTGTCTATGTCGTACGTATGTAAGACGGAAACAACACTTGCAGATGTGACGTACTCTTAATCATTATTGATTAATAGTTATTAGTTACTTATTATTATATTTGTGTTCATTCACAGAATTACTGCTGAATGAAGAATATTTAATATTATATGGGTGGATAACTAATCATATTCAAATAATTAATTTGATTGTTATAATTAAATTGTGGAGGTAAACAAATACAAAAAAATTATTTAACTGTTTTGTTGGATTTCCACATTGATTTAACTATTATTGTATTAAAGTACTTTTGTATTCATAAATTTAATTTTAAATGTATAAACTATAAAAACAGTAGGATGATTAGAACATCAAAAATACGAGTTTTTGATAGGGCGTCAACTAAAGCAATACTATCATCAAATATACATAGTAATATAGGCAGTCTTAACTCATAATCGTTTTTTGTAAACATTGCTTTTCAATCCCTAAATTCAAATTTAACACATAAATTGCAGTTACCTACTTCAACTTAAAGTGTAAAGCAGACTGGTACCCACTTGCCCACCTTGTTTATGTTGATGAATTCAATTCATGAGCAATTTTTAAGGTTCATAAGAATAATTTTTGAAAATTGAATTGGAGTTCATTAATGTGATCGATGCAAACAGTTCAAATTGTTTAGGGAGACTAAAATCCCTTGTAATACAGACCAACAAATATTAGCCCACACACACACACACACAAATAAAATACAAAATGATTTTAGAAAATGTATTTACAATATTATTTGGGTCTATGTTATTTATTAGGTATATTATCTCTCTCAAAGTGTGGAATATTAGTTACGCTTTTAGGTTTATTTCTAAACTGTAGACAAAATGAAGACTGGAAATCAATAACGGGCTAAGCGCCAAAAAGAAAATTGAGTTAATGTGCCATGTGCTAACCGAGCTATGTAAAGAGGGCTATGTGCCACGACCATAATATTGGTGAACAAAAAGTACAAACAAATGTCGTGAGAGCTAAAAATTGAATAACTCAAGGACAATTTTTTGGCACTTAGCACGTTATTGATTTCCATTCTTCATTTATAAATGAAGTAACTTCTTGATTAAGGACTTGATTCGTGGCATCAAGTCCCCTTTTTAGAGACTATGACGTTTGACGCCGTCAGATATAGAGAAATAAACTCATGGGAGGAACTTAAGAAACATTTTCGAACTATTTTTGGGGCATCGCATTCAGCCACATTTCTGCAAAATCAATTAAATTCTAAAAGACAAATTAAAAATGAATCTATTGCTAGTTTTTCTGGTAGAATCGAAAAAGCTTACAATGAGCTTACGCATGTCTCAACTATAAATAAAACGCTTAAATTTAAAAGCTTGACAAGTAACTCGTCTTGAGGAGGCAGTTTTTATAGCCATTGAAGAAGAAAAATCTTTTTATACCGAACAACCATCGTCAACAAATAACTATAGGGATACAAAGAAAAAACAATTAAATGCAATCGTTGTGAAAAAATGGGCCGCACAAACGCACATAAAATACCAAATTATCGTAACCCCACTTATAATCATGATCCTAAACCGGAGGTTAAACAGGAATATGCAGGAAACTCACAAAATAGCTCGCGAGAATTTAATTAAAAAGAAAAATGACAACAAAAAATACTACGATCAGAAAATTAATGAACAAAAATTACATGTAGGGGATAAAGTATTAATGAAGAATAAAAATAAGAAAAACACTTTAGGACAAAACTGGTTAGGTCCATATGAAATCACAATGACTCACGATAATGAAAATATAACAATAAAAAAGGGAGAAAAGACTACCGTGTACACAAAAATATGGTAAAGAAATATTTTGAAACGGAATAATAATATAAAAAATAAAAATACATTTTTCATACATCATCATTTTCCTACACTTCGGATACAAATGGGAACAAAAAAAAAAAAAAATAACAAAACAAACAATAAATTAAAAATATGTATTATAGATTACTCAAAATAATACTACTGACATGTGTAACCGGACAACTACAGTTCAGCAATGAACAACTACCACAGGAATCAGAAATTTACTTTGAAAATCAAGGACCTATAAAAATTGTAACTACAAGATGGGAACTAACCGGATTCTTGGATATCACATACTTTAGAACCCAATACGAGACTAATAAAAAATATTTAGACCTAGCGCAAGGGTTTTGCGAAAATTTTAGTAGGATTAATATAACAAAAGGCCATTGTGACGAACTTTATATGACTGACTCTCAAGGGTCTCGCAAAGAAAATAGAATTAAAGGAAAAACTCCTTTTTGAATCAATAGGTTTTCCACATAGAAGTAAAAGGCAAGCTAAAATCTTGTCAACTTTAGCCAAAACAGCGCAAATATTGTTTGGTATTTGTGACATAAACTGTTTTACAAATTCTAACAAAAAATAAACGAAATCCAAAAAAAAAGGTTAAATGAAATCAAAATATTAGAAAATAGGATAAAATAGGATAAAAATTTTAGAAATAGCACAGGAAATGGAATCAGAAATTATAACAACGGATTTAGAAGCATTATACGAATTAAAAAACTGGACAGAAGATGTAAAAATAAGAAACCGGATTCTGCAACATTTCGTGCGAATTAACATATTATTAAATCAGTACACTTTTGAGACAAACACCCTTTGCGAAATAATTCAACTAGCCAAGATAGATCAAATACACCCAAGCCTATTTACTAAACAATAACTAATAAATCAACTTAGAGACATAAAAGTTAGCGTACCAAGTGGCACAGATTTACCAATAGATATAGATAATGGAGACCCATACGAATTACTTGGACTGTCGGATGTAATCACATAGTATTCAAGTAACAAAATAGTATTTAAGATTATTATACCATTAGTGTATCAACACGTACTAACACTTTATCATTTAATCCCTAAACCTGTATGTATCTTAAATAATTGTATATATATAAAAACTAGTTATAATTTTCTAGCCGTAAGTAGATCAAAAGAACTTGACGCTACTTATGATGAACATGAAACACTAAAATGTAAACGTGCTCATGAATTCCTATTATGTCCAGAAATCAATCCACTTCATCCTAAATTAAGTAGGCCAATTTGCGAAATCTTACTAATACAAGATACTCAAGAGTTTCCTAATAATTGCGAACTAATGCAATTCAAATTAGACACATCAATCTATCATAAACTAACGTATACAAATAAATGGCTATACGTGACAAAAGGGGAAAACATATTTATAACGTGCAATAAAGAAAAACAATCCGTGAATTACAAATTAAGCGGGGTAGGAGTAATTTCACTCAACGAAGCATGTAAGGGTTTTACAGAACGGGACATACTCATTCCTGGAGAAATTAACCACCTGGAAGAATACACAGATTTTATACCTACGTCCAAAATACTACACTTGGAGGAGCATTTGAGATCGCCAATAGATGAAACTATGTTCCAAGACAAGTACGTCAAAAGTAACCAAATATACAACCTAAACGAAGTAGCTAAACCTGTAGGTTATTTCCAAGTTAAGAATGAAATGGATCAAAACCAGAGAAAATACATAGAAATACAAAGAAATAATGGGTATTTACTATACGCAATTACCATAATTATACTTATCACAATTTCAATTTGTTGGATCAAGAAAATCAACGAAATCATAACCAAACGAAAAACAAATGAATCACAAAATGAAGAGGAATCTATCCAACTTCAAGCAACAGCTCCAACAAAAGAACCGTCGGAGCTCATACCAATAGGAGAAACAACAGACGGACACAATCTAACACTGTACCCGAAGTTACGGACAGTATTTTACGAAAATCCACGGATTTCCCTTTTAAAAGGGGAGGAATTTAGTAAACCTCAAGGTGACACGTATTAATTGATATTCTAAATGTTCGGACCTTTTGTTACCTTGTTACCAACTAACGAAAATGCTCACGTATTGACAGTATTGGTCAATTCTTTAACGACTTTTTCCTTAATCATGTATCGAGTAGCACTATTTTACCTTATTCATAAATCAACATAATAATTTTAAAAAAAAGTTTACAAATTAGGTACATATAATTGAACCCATGAATGGTACCCATGAATATATTATGCTTTGGAAAGTTATACTCACTGGCCCGTATACCGCTCTATATCCTCTTTTGATAATCGTGTAAGTTTAACATAACAGTTGAAAATGTTACTAGACAGCTTCTTCATATTATGTTCATCAGTACGTTTCTTAGACATTTAGGAGTATTACTGAAATTGAAATTAGTTAATTATTAATAGTAGGTACAGTAAGATTGGGTGGCTCCATTACAAAATGGCACAATCAATTAATGCAATTGACGTCATTATATTACTATCTCCGTAGGTAAATGGACCGATTACCACTAAAAAAATCATATTTACGGTGGACATATTGTCACAATATTAGAGGCAATAAACACAATGGAGGCACAATAAAAAAAATCAAACAATATAGTTTAGTCAGTATAGGTTTTAGATGTATCATAATAATATTATATTGTATTCAATACGCTGTGGCTAGAGACCCGGACACAGGGTATCTAATACATACTGGGACAACTGTTTTGAGCATGCGCGGGGACTATATTTTCGCCGTGATGTTATCACTGTTATCAGGTAGTTAGGTGTTATCAAATCCCAATCAAATGTGGAAATCATTATATGCAAAGAAGAATTTTCGACCAAGTCTTCGTTGACAAGACATCATTTAAATAAACAAAAAAAAAAGTGTTATCCAAATGTATATCTTGAAAGGACAAAACATTTAAAAAAAAAAAAAAAATACTTATTGAACATTTAAATACACAACATGGAATGTGTATAAAAGAAGAAATAATGCACTTTTCTAGTGTATCATATGTGCTTATTTATTATTGAAATGATGAATGATCCTGAAACTAAAGACTTTGGAGTATATTTCAAACGAGTGTATGCAAACAGACCAACATTATGGTATATCGATTATTATCACGATTTAAGATATACAGGTTGAACATCGGCCTATGATATTATGCATTTTTCAAGACCGTCAAACTGAGTCTCCAAATCAGCTGTGGAACTACCGACTGGCGCCATCTAGCTGCATTTATCTGGAAACTCAACAATCAAAAACGTACTATGGCAACGATCGTATTCGTATACCAGGGGCGTAATTACGGGGGGGGATATGGGGGATAGATCCCCCCCATGAGCTGTATTTATATATTGTCTTATACCTACAAATAGTTCAAATAAAAACTTATAAATTATTACGAAACTAAAAAAAAAAAAAAAAAGTTTAGAAGTTGTGTACCCGTATATAAATATTTACCCGTTAACGATAAGCATGATTTCAAAATAAATTGTGTGATTCATTTTAATTCTTATTTATTAATAAACATTGGGTGCCTTGCCACACACTATACCTAATTTTGAATAGATTATAGATGGTAAGTAATCCGATAATTTGAAAAACCACCATTCCATAAACATAATATAATAATAAAAATGTAACTAAGATTTACATTTCGTAGAACGAATAATAGCCATAGATACTAGGTAGTATCTACTAAGAAAGCGCGCCGACACAAAGTATCTACATTGATTATTGCGATTACGTATAAACATTTAACACTACACAGTAGGTATACACACCGACACACCACACACCGTGTCATTCTCGCATATTCACAGTGTCACTGTGTCAGTTACATTTTTATAAGCTAAAAGCAAAATGGAGCAAAAAAAAGAAAATTACCAGCAACTAGCAGTACTTTATTGAATTTTTTTAAAAAGAAGCCTGGGCCTGACGTAAGTATTACAATTTAAGATACTAAACATTATTAGACCCGGAATTAAATGTTTAAATATTATGTATGACGTATTCAACTTATTATAAAAATTAGCATTACAACTCGCGCTAAAATTATGCAAAAAAAAAGTACCTATTAAAAATATAATTGCAGTCACTGCAGTTTATTCAATAACTATTAGTTATGTCATATTAATTATTATAAAACATTTAAATGAGTTTATTAAAATATTAAAACATATTTGTAAATGTATAATGTTATGTAATATAGAATGATTAAGATGTGTTGAGTTATTAAATTATACAAAATATAGATAAGGGGGTGTGGGCCGTGGGGGCAAAGGCCCCCACAAGTTTACCCTACAAATTTATTTTGATCCCCCCCCCCCCATTAAACATTCTCAGTTACGCCACTGTCGTATACTCGTATGTACTCAATTAGTAACTTCCTACTTAACGTCTTTACTTACTTTTCTATGCTCTTTTCTATGCTCTTAACTTTCGTTTAATATTTTAATGTTTATACTTTACACCTAATATGAGTTAACTGAAGATTAATAATTAACTTAATATTCTAGTTATGAAAAAGAATTTATTTTGTCATGATTCTGGTGGTTTTAAATGTTATAACGTATTGCGATTATAATATATGAATAAACGTTAAAAAGGTTATACAATATTATATAATACCATTTACTTAGTTTACTAAATTATAATTTAAGAATTTTTACAAGTAGATAGGTATTTATATTTTATTCCGTAACAAGAAATGAGAAATACTTCAGGTAAAAATCTTATGATTATCAATCATCGAGTATTATTATACGACAATAGTTTTATTCATTTTAAACATTAATTTATTATGTTTTAACTAATTTTGACAACTTTTTTTGTTGTTTTGTTTAGTTTTTTATTGGCTTGGTTTTGCCTCATGCGTATAGTTATGTAGTAGGAAAAAATATTTGTTAGCATATCCGTTTGATGTTGACGAATGGTACATGGAAATTTATCGCTAAATGGCGCCAGTCAGTAGTTCCAGAGCTGATATAGGGATTCAGTTAGACGGTCTCCTTATCACAATTCGATGAGTAACCGGTATATCTTAAATCGTAATTATTATTAAAATATTATTCTTTTCAGATAACCTGATAACAAGATAACAGATAAGAGATTTCAATTTATGATAGTCACTAGCGCATGCACAGAACGGTCACGGTTCGGTTCTGTTTAGACGCTCCTGAAAATATAGTCCCCGCGCATGCGCAAGACAGTGTCCGGGTACGTATTAGATACCCGGTGTCCGGGTCTCTAGCCACAGCGTATTCAATATTGTACTATTGAATATTTGAGTATTGTTATGAGCAATATAATATTGAACATTAATTGAATATTGTACTATTTTGTCGTTATTCTTACTCGTTAAAATCGTTATGTTTGTCAAGTTGTCGACTGCTCACGGGCGCGGGATGTGTCGGCGGTGGAGATTGAAACAAAATACTTACGGGCGCGTTGAACTCTATCGGCCGTAGCGGTTCTACGTAAAAACTAATATCTGCACTCGAAGCGTCGGGGCCGGGGTCTCGTTCACCGTCAATGGCGGACGACGAGACAAAAAACGTGTTCTCCGCGCGAAAGCGTCACTCGTTGTCGTGTCGAAAGCATAGGCCACGGAGAAAAGGACGCCGCTGAGCCACTCGGCATTGATAATTCGTCGGGGCGTCGGGCAGTGTTGCCAACGGTAGGTGTGGTGTTGCCAACGGCAGGTGCTGCGACCGGCGGGAAAAGTATTTTGGCAAAGCCTTGGCCACGAATTAAGATTATCCACAGATATAAAATACTAGATAGCTAACTTGTCTAAATTAGGGTAATCGATGTTGAAGTTAGCCACCATATGCGTGTGGGTCAATGTTTACATAACTATCTTATCAATACTGTATGATAACATGATATTATTCGCACAGAATAAATTTTTTTATAAAATATTAAAAAAATATATATTTCTATTGAAATTGTTTTTAAGGCGGCTCTTAGTGGCTATTATTTAAGGGGAACATTTTAGGCAATTTCTAATCTTGTCGTCGCCGCCCGTAATCTTTGTGTTAGTCGTAAATGATTATTAGTGAGAAATTCGAAGAAATTCGAACTCAATAACAATAGATTTTATATCGCTCGGCTGCGGGTACTCGGTTCAATAGCACACGTACGCGCATGCACAAGTCAACGTAATCACTGTCGAAAAATATTTTTGTACACTCACAACAGTGAAAAATTCTAATAAGCTGGCGAAAAATACACATACTTCTAGTAGTCCAATTTCAATTTTGAAAAATTATTTGAATTCGTCAGCCTCTTTTCTATGATTTGTAGGAAACCGATTTTGGATATTTTAGATAATTTACGTATATTACGGTTCCAAATGACTGCTTGATTTCTCAAATTTAACTTACACTTTTAAGTGCTAACTAGACAAAAATATGAAAAAGTTTTTCCTACAGATCATAGAAAAGAGGCTAACGAATCCAAATAAGTATTCAAAATAAAAATTTGACTACTAGAAGTATGTGTATTTTTCGCTAGCTTATTGGTCTAAATGCATGAAAAATCCAATCGTTTAGAGCCGCGTAATGAAAACACGTAATATTATCTTTATTCAATATTCCATCGTCAGATATAAAAGTATTTTGACCATTAGATTGTTATCATGTCGTATTGATAAGACAATTATGTAAACATATGGCGGATAACTTCAATGTTCGATGACTTGTTAGCTATCTAGTATTTTATATCTGTGGATATATCTTAATTTGTGGCCTCGGCTCGTCACAATATTATAACAAAGATGTGATTCTGGTGCGGATCCAGTCGGGGGCGGTGGGGGGGGGGAATGCCCCAACCACCGTTGGCCGTATTATTTAAATTTAATATTTCGTGTTATCCTATGTAAATGTTTTGTAATATTTTTCAGTCACAAATCGTCGTATTTTATTTTGACAGCACGCATTTTAACATTTATAAATTGTTGATTACAATATTATTAGGACCGATTGAATTTTAAAAAGGTGTTTGAT